AAATGTATTCTTGAAAGCTAATTAAATAGAACGAAAGTCAAACACATTCAAACAAAGCTTTTTGAATCAAATGAAATTTAAATGCATTTTTCAAAGCTAATTGAATCAAATGAAAGTCAAACACATTCACACAAAGCTTTTTGAATCAAATGAAAGTCAAATGCATTCTTTAAAGCTAATTAAATCGAATGAAAGTCAAACACATTCAAACAAAGCTTTTTGAATCAAATGAAATTCAAATGAATTCTTCAAAGCTAATTGAAACAAATGAAAGTCAAACACATTCAAACAAAGCTTTTTGAACCAAATTAAAGTCAAATGTATTCTTGAAAGCTAATTGAATAGAACGAAAGTCAAACACATTCAAACAAAGCTTTTTGAATCAAATGAAATTTAAATGCATTTTTCAAAGCTAATTGAATCAAATGAAAGTCAAACACATTCAAACAAAGCTTTTTGAACCAAATGAAAGTCAAATGCATTCTTCAAAGGTAATTCAATCAAATGAAAGTCAAACACATTCAAACAAAACTTTTCGAATCAAATGAAAGTCAAATGCATTCTTAAAAGTTAATTGAATAAAATGAAAGTCAAACACATTCAAACAAATCTTTTTGAATCAAATGAAAGTCACAGGCATTCTTCAAAGCTAATTGATCTAAATGAAAGTCAAACACATCCAAACAAAGCTTTTTGAATCAAATGAAATTTAAATGCATTCTACAAAGCTAATCAAAATAAATGAAAGTCATACACATTCAAACAAAACTTTTCGAATCAAATCAAAGTCAGATGCATTCTTAAAAGCTAATTAAATAGAATGAAAGTCAAACAAATTAAACAAAGCTTTTTAAATCAAATGAAAGTCAAATGCATTCTTCAAAGCTAATTGATCCAAATGAAAGTCAAACACATTCAAACAAAGCTTTTTGAATCAAATGAAAGTCAAATGCATTCTTCAAAGGTAATTGAATCAAATGAAAGTCAAACACATTCAAGCGAAACTTTTCGAATCAAATGAAAGTCAGATGCATTCTTAAAAGCTAATTGAAAATAATGAAAGTCAAACACATTCAAACAAACCTTTTTGAATCAAATTAAAGTCAAATGCATTCTTAAAAGCTAATTGAATAGAATGAAAGTCAAACACATTCAAACAAAGCTTAATGAATCAAATGAAAGTCAAATGCATTCTTCAAAGCTATTTGAATTGAATTAAAGTCCAACACATTCAAACAAAGCTTTTTGAATCAAATGAAATTTAAATGCATTTTTCAAAGCTAATTGATCCAAATGAAAGTCAAACACATTCACACAAAGCTTTTTGAATCAAATGAAAGTCAAATGCCTTCTTTAAAGCTAATTAAATCGAATGAAAGTCAAACACATTCAAACAAAGCTTTTTGAATCAAATGAAATTCAAATGAATTCTTCAAAGCTAATTGAAACAAATGAAAGTCAAACACATTCAAACAAAGCTTTTTGAACCAAATTAAAGTCAAATGTATTCTTGAAAGCTAATTGAATAGAACGAAAGTCAAACACATTCAAACAAAGCTTTTTGAATCAAATGAAATTTAAATGCATTTTTCAAAGCTAATTGAATCAAATGAAAGTCAAACACATTCAAACAAAGCTTTTTGAACCAAATGAAAGTCAAATGCATACTTCAAAGCTAATTGGTCCAAATGAAAGTCAAATACATTCAAACAAAGCTTTTTAAATCAAATGAAAGTCAAATGCATTCTTAAAAGTTAATTGAATAAAATGAAAGTCAAACACATTTAAACAAAGCTTTTTGAATAAAATGAAATTAAAATGCATTCTTTAAAGCTAATTGAATAAAATAAAAGTCATACACATTCAATTAAAGTTTTTTGAACCAAATGAAAGTCAAATGCATTCTTCAAAGCTAATTGAAAATAATGAAAGTCAAACACATTCAAACAAACCTTTTTGAATCAAATTAAAGTCAAATGCATTCTTAAAAGCTAATTAAATCGAATGAAAGTCAAACATATTCAAACAAAGCTTAATGAATCAAATAAAAGTCAAATGCATTCTTCAAAGCTAATTAATCCAAATGAAAGTCAAACACATTCAAACAAAGCTTTTTGAATCAAATGAAAGTCAAATTCATTCTTCAAAGCTAATTGAATAGAATGAAAGTCAAACACATTAAAACAAAGCTTAATGAATCAAATGAAAGTCAAATGCATTCTTCAAAGCTATTTGAATAGAATTAAAGTCCAACACATTCAAACAAAGCTTTTTGAATCAAATGAAAGTCAAATGCATTCTTCAAAACTAATTGATCCAAATGAAAGTCAAACACATTCACACAAAGCTTTTTGAATCAAATAAAAGTCAATTGCATTCTTTAAAGCTAATTAAATCGAATGAAAGTCAAACACATTCAAACAAAGCTTTTTAAATCAAATGAAATTCAACTGAATTCTTCAAAGCTAATTGAAACAAATAAAAGTAAAAAACATTCAAACAAAGCTTTTTGAACCAAATAAAAGTCAAATGTATTCTTGAAAGCTAATTGAATAGAACGAAAGTCAAACACATTCAAGCAAAGCTTTTTGAATCAAATGAAATTCAAATGCATTCTTCAAAGCTAATTGAAACAAAAGAAAGTCAAACACATTCAAACAAAGCTTTTTGAATCAAATGAAAGTTAAATGCATACTTCAAAGGTAATTGAATCAAATGAAAGTCAAACACATTCAAACGAAACTTTTCGAATCAAATGAAAGTCAAATGCATTCTTAAAAGCTAATTGAATCGAATGAAAATCAAACACATTCAAACAAAGCTTTTTGAACCAAATTAAAGTCAAATGTATTCTTGAAAGCTAATTGAATAGAACGAAAGTCAAACACATTCAAACAAAGCTTTTTGAATCAAATGAAATTTAAATGCATTTTTCAAAGCTAATTGAATCAAATGAAAGTCAAACACATTCAAACAAAGCTTTTTGAACCAAATGAAAGTCAAATGCATTCTTCAAAGGTAATTGAATCAAATGAAAGTCAAACACATTCAAACAAAACTTTTCGAATCAAATGAAAGTCAAATGCATTCTTAAAAGTTAATTGAATAAAATGAAAGTCAAACACATTCAAACAAATCTTTTTGAATCAAATGAAAGTCACAGGCATTCTTCAAAGCTAATTGATCCAAATGAAAGTCAAACACATCCAAACAAAGCTTTTTGAATCAAATGAAATTTAAATGCATTCTACAAAGCTAATCAAAATAAATGAAAGTCATACACATTCAAACAAAACTTTTCGAATCTGACCAAGATGGTCAAGGGTCAACTATCCATGGTCAAGATGAGGAGGTTCAACACGGTGCTATTGAGCAAGGTGCTAAGGGATTATTCTTGTCTAAATCATTCTTCAATCCTATGCACGGTTTTAGTCCAAAGAGTTTAACAAATGGTTACACTTCCCTTAGTGTAATTATTCTTGTTGAAGGTATCTAGTACATGAGCCGTTTTTCCAAGCTTGAAGCCACGCATGATTTATGCATTTGGGAGTTACATTGGACTGATTTTGACAGCGTGATTCAAGGCTTGTGTTGGGCGTGAATTAAGGCATTAGTTGGCTGATTATTCTACCTCTTTACTTGGGGTTTACATGTGCTTAATTAGAGAGTTGTTGCTAGAATAAAGGAGCTTGAATCAAGGGTTTAAATGGGAGGTTACAAGCGTGACTCAAGGGGGTTGTTTGCACGTTTTTTGGACGTTGAAAATGCTGTTTGAAGACCTCATAATTGCTGAACGTTTTCTCCTTAATTTAAGCATAGTTTTAAGCTTAGTTGATTAGTTTTACTTTGTTGTTATGAGGGGTTAATTGGACAGTCATATGAGCCTTTTAATCACCTTATAATTAGCATTTTATCTTGTCTTTTAATTAGGCAAGTGATGGATGATCATTAAAATTGTAGAAGGGAATCCTATGTTCCTTTATGTAACTTATACACTACTATAAATAGTGTACTATGCATGAATGAAAAGGGATCCAGAAATTTGCTTAAACACTTGTGTTTTGTTGATTAAACGTGACTTAGCAATTAGTCATTTTTAAGGTCCAAGTTTGATAACTCAAATTTGAAGAGTGCTAGTTTTGGTAGAGTGTTCCCAAACCTAGGAACTTGCGTAGTGAACGAGTGGGTTGAGTGTTCCCCATTCCTAACTACACCAAGCAAAGGGTGAGTGTTCCCCTTTGTTATATCCGAGACTAGGGTTGAGTGTTCCCCTATTCTCCCCTTCACTAATCACGATTTCACTAAGACCCCTTAAAACGTACTTTTGTAACAAGGTTCTCATCTTGCTTACACATCATTTGGCGCGTCAGGTAGGGGGTGTTTTCCTAAACATTTCCTAAGGGGTCGTATACCTACACACCATGGGAGAGAATCAAGACTTGAGGACAGCCTTGGAAGCTCTTAATCGATCCATTGCTAGTCAAGAAAGGTTGGCCGAAACCAATGCCAATCTACAAGGGAACCTTGCTGCCTTGATGGCAAGGCTCATGAACGAGCAAGATAGGAGAGATCAAGATGAAGACCCTCCACCTAGGAGGGAAGATAGGAGTCTCAAAGTGGACGTCCCTTCTTTTGATGGGACACTTGATCCAGAGAAGTACTTGGAATGGGAGAAATCCTTGGAAAGGTACTTTGAATACAAGGACATTCATGAGGATGTTCAACGTTTTAAGATTGCCAAAGTCAAGTTGAAGGGCTATGGTGATAGTTGGCTACAGGGAGAGCAGAGGGGACGTACCCTTAGGGGGAAAGCTCCTATCTCTACTTGGGGCAAACTCAAGAAACGGATGAAAGACCGTTTCATCCCCCACAATTACAAGCAGAGTCAATATGTGAAGTGGAGTACCTTGCAACAAAATGGGGACTCTGTGGAGGATTACATAAAAGAGTTTGATAGACTTGCTATTGTGTGTGAAGTAACCGAAAATGAAGAGCTCAAAATGGGGCGTTTCATATCTGGTTTGGACCAAGAATTACAAGACAAACTTGAAGGTTATACTAACCTCACGTTTGCTGAAGCTTGCAAGTTGGTGATTAAGTTCGATGCTAAGAGGAAGAAGAAGAAGCCTACTACCATTCCTCAATTGGCACGAAAACCTTCTTTTCCTACGAAGGAAGGTTCTTCCTTTAACAAACCAAGTAATCCACCAAAAAAGGACACAAAGGACGTGAAGCTAGGTGACATTGTGTGTTACAAATGTGGAGGACGAGGTCATTACAAGAAGGATTGTCCTAATACTAGGGCGTTAACCATACAAGAGGTTAAGCTCATGGCCACTCAAAACATCAACTGGGATGAGTTTGAGGAGGGGGAAGAAGAAGTTGAAGATGATTGTGATGATTGCATTGCCGAGCCAGAGGAGAAGACTAGCCTCGTGATTAGGAGGGCCTTACAAGCACGTGTGGAAGAGGATGCTGCCCCCCAACGACAACACATTTTCATCACCCGTTGTAAAATTGGTGACGAGGTATGTGATTTGATTATTGATGGAGGAAGTGAGGCTAATACCGTGTCTAAGACCCTAGTATCTAAACTTGGTCTTACGACTACTAATCATCCACAACCTTACAAATTAAGTTGGTTAGATTCTAATGCTAGCACTGGAGTTAGGAAGCAATGCATGGTTTCTTTTTGTATTGGTTCGTATTGTGATTCTATATTATGTGATGTTGTGTCTATGGATGCTTGTCATATTCTACTTGGTAGGCCTTGGCAAACTGATAAAAGATCTATACATGATGGGTATCACAACACGTATACCATAGTCCATGAAGGGAGAAAGAAAAAACTACACCCTTTACCACCCCCACGGTTTTCACCATCACAAACACCCCAAAAAGAAGTATCCTTGTTGTCTCTTAAAGAGTTTGAAAGGGAGTTAGATGGTGAGGGAGAGTTGTTCATACTATACTCCAAAGAAACCCACGAAAATTTTGTTGCTCAAAATCCTAAGTTAGCCCAATTGATTAAGGATTTTGAGGACGTTTTTCCGAATGAATTACCTAAAGAACTACCACCCATACGTGGAATTGAGCATCAAATCGATCTCATTCCCGGAGCACCTTTGCCAAATAAGCCAGCCTATAGGTGTAACCCTTTAGAAACTAAGGAATTACAACGTCAAATTGAAGAGCTAATGGGGATGGGTTATGTGCGTGAGTCCATGAGTCCATGTGCCGTTCCTGCTTTGTTGGTCCCTAAGAAAGATGGTACTTGGAGAATGTGTATTGATAGTAGAGCCGTTAATAACATTACTATCAAGTACAGGTTTCCAATTCCAAGGCTTGATGACATGCTTGATGAGTTAAGTGGTTCCAAGGTCTTCTCAAAGGTAGACTTGAGAAGTGGGTATCATCAAATTCGCATGAGAGAAGGGGATGAATGGAAAACCGCGTTCAAGACAAAGCATGGGTTGTATGAGTGGCTCGTCATGCCATTTGGCCTTACAAATGCCCCTAGCACGTTCATGAGATTAATGAATGAGGTGCTAAGGCCATTTCTTGGCAAGTTCGTGGTAGTATACTTGGATGACATTCTCATTTATTCACGTGATGAAGAATCTCATTTTGATCATCTTTTCCAAGTATTTTCTGTTTTGAGGCAAGAAAAATTGTATGGGAAACTAGAAAAATGTGATTTTTTATTGTATGAAGTCATGTTTCTTGGTTACATAGTTTCAGGTGATGGCGTGAAGGTGGATCCTAGCAAAATTGAAGCAATTCAATCATGGCCTAGTCCAAGGACACTCACGGAAGTTCGTTCATTTCATGGACTTGCCTCCTTCTATAGAAGATTCATCAAGAATTTTAGCACACTCATGTCTCCCATCACCGAGTGTACTAAGAAAGGCGTGTTTGAATGGACACCCCAAGCTCAAAGGGCATTTGAAGAAGTCAAGAAGAAGATGTGCAACACACCCATCTTAGCACTTCCGGATTTTTCCAAACCATTTGAGGTTGAATGTGACGCAAGTGGAAAGGGTATTGGTGCCGTATTGATTCAAGGTGGGCGTCCCATTGCTTACTTTAGTGAGAAGATGAGTCAAGGCAAGTTGAATTACTCCACCTATGATAAAGAGTTCTATGCTATGGTAAGAGCTCTAGATCATTGGTCACATTACTTGAGGCCACAACCTTTCATATTGCATTCCGATCATGAATCCTTGAGGTTCATACATGGCCAAAAGAAGCTGAATGCAAGACATGCAAAGTGGGTCGAATTCTTGCAAACATTTAACTTTTCCTCTAAATACAAGAGTGGGAAAGCTAATGTGGTTGCGGATGCCTTATCTCGAAGGCATAATTTGCTTGGAATGGTTGAAGCAAAGGTACTTGGGTTCGATTTGATCAAAGAATACTATCAAGAAGATGATGAACTCAAAAGGATAATTGATAACTGTGTCCATGGAGTCTATGATCTGTTTTCCTTACATAACGGTTTTTCTTTTTAAAGGAAATAGATTATGTATTCCAAAATGTCCCATTAGAAGTTTGTTGATACATGAAGCTCATGGGGGAGGGCTAGCTGGTCACGTTGGTATTCACAAGACATTGGAGCTTCTCCAAGCTCACTTTTATTGGCCGAAAATGTTAGCCACGGTTCATCATGTGGTGAGTCGTTGTTCTACTTGTCAAAGAGCAAAGATGGTGTTTCATAAAGGTCTCTACAAGCCCTTACCAATTCCCGAGAGACCTTGGGAAGATGTTAGTATGGATTTTATTGTAGCTTTGCCAAGAACTCAAAGAGGCAAGGATTCAATAATGGTGGTGGTTGATCGGTTCTCAAAAATGGCTCATTTCATTCCTTGCCATAAAACTGAAGATGCAGTAAAAGTGGCTAAGTTATACTTCGAAGAAGTGGTTCGTTTCCATGGGGTGCCACGCACCATTGTGTCGGATCGTGATACTAAGTTCCTAAGTCATTTTTGGAAGTCTATTTGGCGTTTGATGGGAACTAAGTTATTGTTTTCTACCTCACATCATCCACAAACCGATGGTCAAACGGAGGTGGTGAATAGGATACTTGGTTCGTTGCTTAGGGCTTTGGTAAGCAAAAGTACCAAAGATTGGGATAATAAGCTTGCTCATGCCGAGTTTGCTTATAATAGGACACCTAGTGCTACTACAAAGTACTCTCCTTTTGAAGTAGTATATGGCGTCAATCCTTATATTCCCATTGATCTTATTGCTTTGCCAAAAGACAAGTTCGTTCATGGTGGAGCAAAGGAGCAAGCCGAGTTCATGCTAAAAGTCCATAAAGAAGTTCGGAGAAACATTGAAAAGGCAAATGAAATCTACAAGAAACAAGCCAACAAACGCGTTAGAAATATGAAGTCTTTTGAAGTTGGGGACTTGGTGTGGATTTACATGAGGAAAGAACGTTTTCCTAGCAAAAGGAAGAACAAGCTTATGCCAAGAGCCGAGGGTCCGTTTGAGGTCGTGGAAAAGATCAATGACAATGCATACAAAATAGATTTGGGAGGCCAATATGGTGTCTCAAGTACATTCAACATTGGTGATCTTGCTCCTTACTTTGATGATGACGAATTGAGGGCAATTCCTTTTGAAGAAGGGGAAGATGACCAAGATGGTCAAGGGTCAACTATCCATGGTCAAGATGAGGAGGTTCAACACGGTGCTATTGAGCAAGGTGCTAAGGGATTATTCTTGTCTAAATCATTCTTCAATCCTATGCACGGTTTTAGTCCAAAGAGTTTAACAAATGGTTACACTTCCCTTAGTGTAATTATTCTTGTTGAAGGTATCTAGTACATGAGCCGTTTTTCCAAGCTTGAAGCCACGCATGATTTATGCATTTGGGAGTTACATTGGACTGATTTTGACAGCGTGATTCAAGGCTTGTGTTGGGCGTGAATTAAGGCATTAGTTGGCTGATTATTCTACCTCTTTACTTGGGGTTTACATGTGCTTAATTAGAGAGTTGTTGCTAGAATAAAGGAGCTTGAATCAAGGGTTTAAATGGGAGGTTACAAGCGTGACTCAAGGGGGTTGTTTGCACGTCTTTTGGACGTTGAAAATGCTGTTTGAAGACCTCATAATTGCTGAACGTTTTCTCCTTAATTTAAGCATAGTTTTAAGCTTAGTTGATTAGTTTTACTTTGTTGTTATGAGGGGTTAATTGGACAGTCATATGAGCCTTTTAATCACCTTATAATTAGCATTTTATCTTGTCTTTTAATTAGGCAAGTGATGGATGATCATTAAAATTGTAGAAGGGAATCCTATGTTCCTTTATGTAACTTATACACTACTATAAATAGTGTACTATGCATGAATGAAAAGGGATCCAGAAATTTGCTTAAACACTTGTGTTTTGTTGATTAAACGTGACTTAGCAATTAGTCATTTTTAAGGTCCAAGTTTGATAACTCAAATTTGAAGAGTGCTAGTTTTGGTAGAGTGTTCCCAAACCTAGGAACTTGCGTAGTGAACGAGTGGGTTGAGTGTTCCCCATTCCTAACTACACCAAGCAAAGGGTGAGTGTTCCCCTTTGTTATATCCGAGACTAGGGTTGAGTGTTCCCCTATTCTCCCCTTCACTAATCACGATTTCACTAAGACCCCTTAAAACGTACTTTTGTAACAAGGTTCTCATCTTGCTTACACATCAGAATCAAATCAAAGTCAGATGCATTCTTAAAAGCTAATTAAATAGAATGAAAGTCAAACAAATTAAACAAAGCTTTTTAAATCAAATGAAAGTCAAATGCATTCTTCAAAGCTAATTGATCCAAATGAAAGTCAAACACATTCAAACAAAGCTTTTTGAATCAAATGAAAGTCAAATGCATTCTTCAAAGGTAATTGAATCAAATGAAAGTCAAACACATTCAAGCGAAACTTTTCGAATCAAATGAAAGTCAAATGCATTCTTAAAAGCTAATTGAAAATAATGAAAGTCAAACACATTCAAACAAACCTTTTTGAATCAAATTAAAGTCAAATGCATTCTTAAAAGCTAATTGAATAGAATGAAAGTCAAACACATTCAAACAAAGCTTAATGAATCAAATGAAAGTCAAATACATTCTTCAAAGCTATTTGAATTGAATTAAAGTCCAACACATTCAAACAAAGCTTTTTGAATCAAATGAAATTTAAATGCATTTTTCAAAGCTAATTGATCCAAATGAAAGTCAAACACATTCACACAAAGCTTTTTGAATCAAATGAAAGTCAAATGCCTTCTTTAAAGCTAATTAAATCGAATGAAAGTCAAACACATTCAAACAAAGCTTTTTGAATCAAATGAAATTCAAATGAATTCTTCAAAGCTAATTGAAACAAATGAAAGTCAAACACATTCAAACAAAGCTTTTTGAACCAAATTAAAGTCAAATGTATTATTGAAAGCTAATTGAATAGAACGAAAGTCAAACACATTCAAACAAAGCTTTTTGAATCAAATGAAATTTAAATGCATTTTTCAAAGCTAAATGAATCAAATGAAAGTCAAACACATTCAAACAAAGCTTTTTGAACCAAATGAAAGTCAAATGCATACTTCAAAGCTAATTGGTCCAAATGAAAGTCAAATACATTCAAACAAAGCTTTTTAAATCAAATGAAAGTCAAATGCATTCTTAAAAGTTAATTGAATAAAATGAAAGTCAAACACATTCAAACAAAGCTTTTTGAATAAAATGAAATTAAAATGCATTCTTTAAAGCTAATTGAATAAAATAAAAGTCATACACATTCAAACAAAGTTTTTTGAACCAAATGAAAGTCAAATGCATTCTTCAAAGCTAATTGAAAATAATGAAAGTCAAACACATTCAAACAAACCTTTTTGAATCAATTTAAAGTCAAATGCATTCTTAAAAGCTAATTAAATCGAATGAAAGTCAAACATATTCAAACAAAGCTTAATCAATCAAATAAAAGTCAAATGCATTCTTCAAAGCTAATTGATCCAAATAAAAGTCAAACACATTCAAACAAAGCTTTTTGAATCAAATGAAAGTCAAATTCATTCTTCAAAGCTAATTGAATAGAATGAAAGTCAAACACATTCAAACAAAGCTTAATGAATCAAATGAAAGTCAAATGCATTCTTCAAAGCTATTTGAATAGAATTAAAGTCCAACACATTCAAACAAAGCTTTTTGAATCAAATGAAAGTCAAATGCATTCTTCAAAACTAATTGATCCAAATGAAAGTCAAACACATTCACACAAAGCTTTTTGAATCAAATAAAAGTCAATTGCATTCTTTAAAGCTAATTAAATCGAATGAAAGTCAAACACATTCAAACAAAGCTTTTTAAATCAAATGAAATTCAACTGAATTCTTCAAAGCTAATTGAAACAAATAAAAGTAAAAAACATTCAAACAAAGCTTTTTGAACCAAATAAAAGTCAAATGTATTCTTGAAAGCTAATTGAATAGAACGAAAGTCAAACACATTCAAGAAAAGCTTTTTGAATCAAATTAAATTCAAATGCATTCTTCAAAGCTAATTGAAACAAAAGAAAGTCAAACACATTCAAACAAAGCTTTTTGAATCAAATGAAAGTTAAATGCATACTTCAAAGGTAATTGAATCAAATGAAAGTCAAACACATTCAAACGAAACTTTTCGAATCAAATGAAAGTCAAATGCATTCTTAAAAGCTAATTGAATCGAATGAAAGTCAAACACATTCAAACAAAGCTTTTTGAATCAAATGAAATTTAAATGCATTTTTTAAAGCTAATTGAATCAAATGAAAGTCAAACACATTCAAACAAAGCTTTTTGAACCAAATTAAAGTCAAATGCATTCTTCAAAGGTAATTGAATCAAATGAAAGTCAAACACATTCAAACAAAACTTTTCGAATCAAATAAAAGTCAAATGCATTCTTAAAAGTTAATTGAATAGAATGAAAGTCAAACACATTCAAACAAACCTTTTTGAATCAAATGAAAGTCACATGCATTCTTCAAAGCTAATTGATCCAAATAAAAGTCAAACACATTCAAACAAAGCTTTTTGAATCAAATGAAAGTCAAATGCATTCTTAAAAGCTAATTAAATAGAATGAAAGTCAAACACATTCAAACAAATCTTAATAAATCGAATGAAAGTCAAATGCATTCTTCAAAGCTAATTGAATAGAATTAAAGTCTAACACATTCAAACAAAGCTTTTTGAATCAAATGAAAGTCAAATGCATTCTTCAAAGCTAATTGATCCAAATGAAAGTCAAACACATTCACAGAAAGCTTTTTGAATCAAATGAAAGTCAATTGCATTCTTTAAAGCTAATTAAATCGAATGAAAGTCAAACACATTCAAACAAAGCTTTTTGAATCAAATGAAATTCAAATGCATTCTTCAAAGCTAATTGAATTGAATTAAAGTCCAACACATTCAAACAAAGCTTTTTGAATCAAATGAAAGTCAAATGCATTCTTCAAAGCTAATTGATGTAAATCTAAATACACCCTCCCGAATATGGGTTGATGGATTTAAAAATACTTATAGTTAGAATACTCAAATATCATGGAACAAGATAAAAGGGCCAAAACTCAAGGACACACTCAAAGTTTTGGGGTTTTAGGCCAGAGATAAGACTCACTCAATCTCTCCTAAGCTTATCACTCAAGACTTACTCAAAGCAATAAGGGAACACTTGAACTTGAGACAAACTCTAAGTTAAAATGCTAAAACACAAGGTTTTTTATCCAAACTCAAAACTGGTTTTTATTTCTGTTTTGCTCTCCCTTTTATAGAGGAAAGGAGCAGCAAAAACACACCAAAAGTCAAGGAAAACCGTCCAAGCATGAACAGCCAAAAGCCAGCAGTTTTCCTCCTTGATTTAAGCTAAACAATAAAAGCATAATAAAGCCTAATGATAACTTCCTATTACAACCGGCCAAAGAGCTAAACTCTTGGCATTATTTCAGCAACATTAACTAAAATATAAGATAATAATAGCTAGTAAATGGCTTAGGATCCACACGCCCAAAATAGCAGTGAAACGTGCCAAATCTGTAGTGAAGCGCGCCATGCGCCCAATCTTCAATCTACCCATGAAATGCAACATAGAACTTCAACCTTCTTTGTAAATGGATAAAATCCAAGAGTCTCTAAGACTAAAGCAACAGGTTCATTAGATTTCCACTTTGGATCATTCCCCCCTTCTTCAAAAGAGTTTGCCCTCAAACTTGAATCATCAAAGTATGGTGATAAATCCCCTACATTGAAAGTCGCACTAACACCCATCAATTCGTCTGGTAGCTCAATTTTGTAAGCACTATCGTTCACCCTCTCAAGAACCTTAAAAGGACCATCAGAACGAGGCATAAGCTTGTTTTTGCGAAGCTTAGGGAACCTCTCCTTCCTCA